TCACCACACATGAACAGCACAAGATGTCCAGCTGACCAAAGACGTAGCCCTACTCTCTCGAGAAGTCATCCCGGTCCGCTCTTCTGTGCACTCATGCTCATTCTCAGTGACATCGGCGAATGATCTACACACAACCTCATCAATCATCGTTGCAAACGTCAAAATTGAAAAAAAGTCTCGTCGCCAAAGCTACGCTATGATATCTGCCAGTGCAAGCCTAAGCTAAGTGAGGTTAACACGACCAGTGTGCTCATTATCACAGTCCTCGAAAGCCTCTCGGTACTTTACTATCTCAGCCTCCGAGAACGGCAGCAGGGGACGGACCTGAGCAACATCATAACTGTATTAAACCGCGTGGTTGAGTCGTACCTCACTGAGGCGATGTTGTTCTCTCGTCAATCGCCACACCTCCGCCTTGAACAGATCGTAACGAACAACTCTGGCGCTGTTGGTATCGGCGCACAGCTTCTCAAGGATAGCCACAAAGCGAGCTCTCGATAACGCTGGCCCGCCAGGTGGGAAGCCAAGCTTCGTGAACGCCTACCGTGAGAGACAAATTGCCTCTAGGAAAACATGGCAACTCCTATACCACCTCTTCGACACTTCGAGCGAGAATGGTGAGTTCTACACTCCCGGAGTGCCCAGCCCTGAGGCTAGATCTCTCATGTCTTCTCTGCTCTACCATGTGTGACTCCTTCATGAGGGCATCGTCAATCGCCGAGCCGACCTCAGACGGAACTGGTGCCGCGGCTGTCTAACACCAACCTCGTTGTGATACTATCCAGAGGGCTTCGAAGCTCTACTAATCGAAATCACTCTATAGACTGACCTTCTATCTCAACTGAGACGACCGAGAAGCTGGTCCAGCCCGTCCTCAACTTACACGAGCTCTCGAACCTTGTCGGCTCCATTTTTTTTGAACTTCTGCTGTCTCGGAATCCTCATCACTGTGTGATATCAACTTCATATAACTCTTACTGCGTGATGAGAGTACCCCTCTCCGTCTCGACCCTGGAATATATAAATGCCCGCACCACTGAGGAAATCATCATCACTACGCCGTCGACTCTCCTTCTCGTTCTTCGTGACTTTAAAGTAGCCACCATAACCCCACGCTGGAAACACTCTGATTATCGCGACAGGGGGCACTTCTCCCAAATTTTGCGCAGCCCCTCGGCGTCCATCTCCATGTCGACCTCCTCTCTCCTCTTGCGTTCACTCAAAGACACAA